AGAGAGAAAGTACCCACCCCCCGATGGGGAACAGTCATGCTGTAATCTCTCCTCCACTTGTCCATCCTGTCGGGATTTGGGTCATGGCGAGGGAGCTCATGTGTGCGGGTTATGGCAGCGTCATGCACGCACACTCCTCTAGCATATTTCTCAAGTCACTGGGTCTGGGACCTGAACTGGAGAATCGGCATGTTGGATCCAGCTGCCTTAACCATCAGGCCACAGAGGCAATCTGAAAGAGGATTTTTTTTTTTAATTTTTTTAAATTTCTTTCTTTCACAGGCCCAGCGGGTGGCATGGTGGTTAAGGGTGCTGGATTCCCACATGGTCAACTGTGGTTCAAGTCCTGGACCTGGTGGGTTGCTTTCTTACTTTCTTTTTCTCTCACTCTCTCTCTCGCTCTGTCCTTCTCTGGTCAAATAAATAAATAAAGTTAAATAAAATAATTCTTAAAAAGACAGAAACAGAGGTAAAGAGACCCCAACAGGGTCCTGATACTACAATCCACTTCCAGCCTCAGCCGGTCTCAGATTATGGTCACACATCTGCCTGATATACTCAGGGAGTCTCCAAAGGGGAACCCAGAATTTCCAATGTGGGTCAGCCTTGCAGAGCATCACGTTTCCCTATTGCACCACCATCCAGTCCTAAAAGAGAACTTTTGTCTTTTTTCTTTATACACTTCTGTAGTTCTGAATTTAAAATATATATTATTTTTTGTAAAGAATTATTGATTTAATTTATTCATTATTTAATTTGACCAGAGTGAGATGCACACACACGCAGAGGAAGAGAAAGAGAGAGAAAATGAGAAAGCAAGCCACCAGGTTCAAGACTCGGACTACGGTTGGCCATGTGGGAGTGTCCAGTGCCTTAACCATCACACCACCTGCAGGTCCCCAAAATGTATATTCTTTTTGTAATTCCAGAACAAAACAAAATAATTTGGTTAGGTATAAATTAGGACTGCTCCACAGAGAAACAAAGAAATCAGTCTGAATTATCTGATATCAGCTGAATTTGAAAAACACTCTCCGACATGGGGACCACAGTTCAAGTACTGGACCTGGTAGCTTCCTTTCAATCACTTTATCTCTCTGTATCACTCTCTCTCTCTCTCTCTGGCCAAATTAAAATAAATGACTGAATGAGTAAATAAATAAATAATTCTTTAAAAAGAAAAAAGCACTGTCCGACCTCACAAATTACCACAAGCCAATTTGTCATGTTGTAGCTACCTAGAAGTAAGATTACAGATAATCTGTCTGCAAAAGCCTTCCCCTGGGCAGTGACATGAAGTGAGCTTGCAGGTTGTATAGGATTTCCTAACAGCACAGGGAGAAGCTGAAGGTCCTTCTCACTTTCCCATAAACAAATACAGTTCCTCTATTCGCTCATGTTGTTGATATTTTTACGTTTTTTATACAGTAATTTTGCTTTTTAAAATGATCAAATACTACATGTTCATTTTAAAAATTCAGATATAGAAATATACAAACCTCATTCTGCAGAAGTAATCACTATTTTGAGTTCTGTTGTATACTCTTTTCTGACTTTTTAAAAATACACATATAATTTCATTTTTATTATTTTTTTATTGGATGTAATTCACATAACATAGAACTCACCATTTTAAAGCATGCGATCCAGTGGTCTTTAATGTATTGGTGAAGTTGTGCAATCATCTCTGCTATCTAATTCTAGAACATTTCATCACCCCAGAAAGAAACCATATACCCATTGGCAGTCACTCCCCGTTCCTCATTCCCTTCGGTTCCTGGCGACCATTAATCTACTTTCTGTTTCCACAAATGTGCCTCTTCTAGACATTTCACCTGAACGGAATAGTACAATATTTGGCCTTTTGTGCTCAGCTCCTTCCACTTAGCACATGTTCAAGGTTTATGCATTTTACAGCATGTACCAGTACTTCATTCTTTTTGAGGGTGAATAATATTACACCGTATTTTGTTTATCCGTTCGTCAGTTGACAGCCATGTATGTTGTTTCTAGTTTTTGGCTAGTATGAAGGGTGCTGCTATGACCATTTACAAACATTTTTGTAACCATTATTATTATTATTTTCAGGGTGAGCATGTGCTCACCAGAGAAAGAGAGCGAGAGAGAATACCTTCCAATGGGGCATGGTCACGCCACAATCTCTTTCATTTTTCCATCCTGTTAGCATTTGAGGCATGAACGCACAGACTCCCAGCATTTTTTTTTTTTTTTTTTTGGCCATAAGTTGTGTGCCCTTACCAGAGAGAGACAGAGAGAGGGAAAGTGAGAAATCACTCCCCAGGGGAAATGGCTAACTGCAATCTCTTCTCCCCTATTCTCTTTTTGGGATATTGGGCATGTATGCACATATGCCCAGCAAGATTTTCAAGCTTCTGGGTCTGGGACTTGAATCACAGTCAGCCATATAGGAGTCCAGCGCTCTAGCCATCATGCCACCTACTGGCCTTCTAACATGTTTTTTAAACTGCTGAGGCTGGCATTTGAAATGCAGTTGGCCAGATGGGATCCATTCATCTTAATCATTGGTCCACAGAGCCGGCTCTATGTGTATGTTTTTGCATGGAAATAGGATTTTAATTCTTTGGGCATATACGTAAGAGAGAAATTGCTGGGTCAAAGTTAAATTGAGATTTAACTTTCAAAAAATTATTTTATTTAACTTTATTTATTTAATTTATTTACTTTAATTTGACCAGAGAGGGACAGAGAGAGAGAAAGAGAGAGAAAGTGAGGAAGCAAGCTGCCAGGTCTGGGACTCGAACCACGGTCAGAAATGTGAGAGTCCAGTGTCTCCAACCAGCATGCCACCTGCAGGCCTCGAGGTTTAGTTTTCTTAAAGAACTGTCACACTGTTTTCCATAGCAGTAGCACTATCTTATGTTTCTACTGACAATGTACCAGTATTCCAATTTTTCTATATCTTCATCAACATTTTTTCTCTTTTTCTCTCCTTTTTTCTTTTTCTTTCTTTCCTAGTCTGCTCACCCTAGTAAGTGTGAAGCGATATCTCGTTTGGTTTTGATGTGCATTTCCCCAATGACTAATGATGTTGAACATCTTTCCATGTGTCTGTTGGCTATCAAATATTATCTTTAGAGAAATGCCTATCAAATCTATGCTCCTGTAAAAAATTAAATTATTTGGGACCAGCAACTGGTGTAATGATTATGTCGCTGGGCTTCCAGCCACGTAGTTGACCACTGTTCGAATCCTGGAGCTGGCAGCTTAAAACTCATGCCAGGCTCATGTGTGAGTCCAAGATCCTGAAAGGAGAATGGAGGAGAAGAGATTATGGTGTGGCCATCCACCCTCCCTCTCATGCGGGGAGGTGATTTCTCACTTTCTGTCTCTCACTGGCAATGCATGTGCCTTATAGCAAAAAACTCTCTTTTTTTTTGGAGAGGTTTTTGCTATAGGGCGCGTGCGCTCGCCAGACAGACAGAGACACAGAGAGATAGAAAGCAGGAAATCACCCCCCAGGGAGGATGGCCATGCCGCAATCCCTTCTCCTCCATTCTCCTCTCGGGATCTTGGGCACGCACACACACGCGCCCAGTATGAGTTTAAGCCACCGGGTCCGGGACTCAAACAGCAGTTGACTACGTGGGAGTCCAGCGACATAGCCATTACGCTAACTGCTGGTCCCATAGCAAAAAACTCTCTTAAAAACAAACAAAATTATGATTTTCAGACCACCAGGTCCAGGACTCAAACCACAGTTGGTCAAGTGGGAGTCCAGCATCTATTTTTTTTTTCTTTTTTTAGAGAGGTTTTTGCTATAGGGCGCATGTGCTCGCCAGACAGAGAGAGACAGAGAGGTAGAAAGTGAGAAATCACCCCCCAGGGGGGATGGTCACGCCACAATCCCTTCTCCTCCATTCTCCTCTCAAGATCTTGGGCACACATGCACACGTGCCTGGCATGAGTTTAAGCCACCAGGCCCGGGACTCGAACCACTGTCGACTATGTGGGATTCCAGCAACATAGCCATTACGCCAACTGCTAGTCCTGGAGTCCAGCATCTTAATCACTACGTCAACTGCTGGCCCTGGCCTTTTTTTTTTTTTTTTTTTTTTTTTGAGAGGTTTTTGCTATATGGTGCGTGCACTTGCCAGAAAGACAGAGACAGAGAGACAGAAAGTGAGAAATCACCCCCCAGGGGGGATGACCATGCCACAATTCCTTCTCCATTCTCCTCTCGGGATCTTGGGAGCACATGCACACACACCTGGTGTGAGTTTAAGCCACCGAGTCTGAGATTTGAACTGCAGTTAACTACATGGGAGTCCAACGACATGACCATTACGCCAACTGCTGGTCCCATGGATATTTTTTAGAGAAATTTTTGCTATAGGATGCATGTGCTTGCCAGAGAGACAGAGAGACAGAAAGTGATAAATCATTCCCTGGGGATGGCCATGCCACAATCCCTTCTCCATTGTTCTCTTGGGATTTTTTGGCACACATGTACACGCACCCAGTGTGAGTTTCAAGCCACAGAGTGTTGCGGTCAGCCGTGTGGGAGTCCAGTGACATAACCATTAAGCCATCTGCTGGTCCTGGCTCTGGATTTTTTTTAAACAGCGTATCACGGACATCTTTCAATATCATGCGAGAACTACCTCCTTTTCATTCCAATCTTATTTTTTTTCCCTCCCTCATCCTTTTTCATGACTACATAGCTTTTCCCTTTGTACCACAGTTGCTGTGGGCAGTCCCCTGCCGAGCTGTGAGTGTTGGTGAGAGACTGTGACAGCAGCTTTTGAGCTGCAGAAGCAGTCGCTACCCCACCATGCTATCCACTCTCGGATGATGTGAAAATGCAAGTAGGCACAGGAAATGTCTAACTTGCTTGCACTTCCTCTCTGAACCCATGCGGTTTCACAATTCTTACAGGCACTCCCCCTGCCACCCCACCCGCCTGGCGCCACTGTGAGAAAGTCCAGGACATAATCATTTTCCTCTTTCACCCTGTCTAGGTTGCCAGCAAATCCCAAGGGCCCTCTGAGACTGAGCCTGGGCCCACAGGGCCTTCCAGCTGCTGCAAAGATGAAGAATTCTTGCATCACCATGAGGCTGCTGTTGTCTGGGTCCTTTCTCTTAGGTAGGAAGGAGGAGGGAAGAAGGAACGTGGGTCTGTGAGCAGGGAAACTGCGGGGCTTCGTGCAGCTGGGGTAAATGAGGAGCGCTCTGAAGTGGGACTGGCCATAAGTAATTCAGGGCCCAGCGATCCTAGAGAGTGAGGGGGAGAGGAAGAGAAAAAGCCAGACCTAACGTCTAGGTGAAGTGTGGAGGAAAGACAGAAGGGAGACAAAGGTAGCACAGTGAGGGGGGAAGATGGGCCCTTTGAAAAGGCAGGTGACTGACTAATGGGTCCCCAGCACTGGGAGGAGAGGGCTCTGTTCTGGTCGCACCGCTCTGTGCATCTGAGGCAAATCCTCCTTTTTCTTCATCTGAATGATGCAGGCAGGGCATCCCGACCTGCTAGGACGCAGCGAGCTTGATGCCTGGGAGGAAGGAGGGCCAGAAAGGACGGCTGGCAGTGTGCAGATGGGGCCCAGGCCGCCTGGGGTGGGGGTGGGATGGAGAATCAGGGAGACTGGTCCCTGGGGGGATGGAGAGCGAGGGGGTGCAGAGGACTGAGAGATGGCCTCCCGGGTGGGAGGACCTTGAGTCTGTGGGAGGGAGCCTTCTCAGGGTGGCTGGGCCCCATGACCATGGGAGCAGTGGGCGTGGAGGGAAGGGGAGCCTGCCGTGGGGCATCCTCGGCT